CCTGCGCTCCGTGCGCCCGCCCGCCGGCTCCACTGAGGCGCCCACGGCCGCGGTGACGAGGGGGCAGCCCGGTCCCCACGCGGGCGTCTGGCCTCGGGCGGCGGAGACGCGGGACTCGCGCGCTGGGTCCAGTGGTTCTTAACAGTTCAACAGTTCTGTAGCGCAATTGTGAAATGTTTAGGACCACTAGACCCGGCGGGCCTGGCGGCGGCGACACAACACAACACAACGCGGCTGGGCCTGGGGACCGACGGCGAGGCGGCGGGCCTGGCTGTGCCTGACGGTGGGGCGCATGGCAGGCCCTGGAGCGTCTTCATCCTCGCTCCCTCGGAGCCCAGGACTCCACCCTTCTGAAACTCGGGGGACCTGGGGAGGGTTCTGGCTGGCACCGCGCGGGGAGCGCCCGGCCTGGCTCTTGCCCTCGGCGGCGGAGCTGGTTCGTTCCCTCGGCGGCGGAGCTGGCCAGCCTGGGGGAGCCTGTCCTCGGCGGCCTGGTCGGCACAGCCTCGGCGGGGAGGGTGCTCGGAACAAGGACTGAGGAGAGTCGAGTCTGGGGCTGCGGCCTCCCACACAGCCTCGGGCTAGGCGAGTGAGGAGCTTCCACTGGAGGTCTTCAGAGGAACCTGAGGTCTGTTATTCTAGCCTGTAGCCCAGGATCAGCCAGGGTCAGTTCTATGCAGGTGAGGTGGCCTCAGCCTCCAGACCACTTGGGTGAGACTGACATCTGGGAACCTGCCCCCTCTCTCGCTCTCTACTCCCTTGGCTTGGAGTTTAGGGGAGTTGTTAGGAACGGTGGGGTCAGTGGATGCATCCAGGGCCCTCCTGGATACAGCTCCCCACCGGAAGGTGGGGCCCAGGAGCTCTGCTGAGGGGAGGAGCAAGTGGGGGGCACCATCTTCCTGCCAGCCCTGGTCCCTCCACCAGTGTTGGGTCAGGGTGCCGGGCAGTGACAGCGCTCCTGGCTGCACCCTGTGGCCACTGTATCCTGTGACCTGCCAGGTCCTAGTGTGGAGGGCCTCCTGCTGGGGGAGGGAGGGTACCAGCATGATTTTGCGCCTGTGACCATAGTGCTGTCTGTTGAGAAAAATAAACTTGTCCCCAAGTCTTCTGTCTCCTGCCTGTTGTATTCCACATCCCTCAGGCCTCAGCCTGGCATCATTCTCTGCGCAGGGGCCCAGCTCCCACCTCCGCCCCGCCTCCCTCTCCCCAGGCTGGCTCCTCCACTGTGTTGTCTTCACAGCCCCACCCTACATGGGATTGGCCAGCCCTTCCCAGAGGCCTGGAGGTTGGCCTTGGGACCGAGCTCCAATTCTAGGTGCACACACTGCCCCTCTGAGGAGGGATGGTCTGCCTGCCTGGGGCCAGGGCCTCCAGAACCTGTGGACCTGGCCTGGTACCACATGGTGGGCAGGTCTGAGGAAC